TTAAGTTTCTCAGGATCCACATAAGAGTGAAACCATATGGTATCTGTCTTTCTCTGTATGGCTTATTTCACTTAGCATCACACTCTCCAATTCCATCCACGTTGCTACAAAAGGCCATATTTCATTCTTTCTCATTGCCACGTAGTACTCCATTGTGTATATAAACCACAATTTCTTTATCCATTCATCAGTTGATGGACATTTAGGCTCTTTCCATAATTTGGCTATTGTTGAGAGTGCTGCTATGAACATTGGGGTACAAGTGCCCCTATGCATCAGTACTCCTGTGTCCCTTGGATAAATTCCTAGCAGTGCTATTGCTGGGTCATAGGGTAGGTCTATTTTTAATTTTCTGAGGAACCTCCACACTGCTTTCCAGAGCGGCTGCACCAATTTGCATTCCCACCAACAGTGCAAGAGGGTTCCCGTTTCTCCACATCCTCTCCAGCATCTATAGTCTCCTGATTTGTTCATTTTGGCCACTCTGACTGGCGTAAACACATCTTCTTAATACTCTTCCTTTAACTTACTGTAGAAGGCCTAGAATAACTCCATTCGGACAATAACTATACCTTATGTATATTGTGGGTTCTAGTTACCATTGTTCATATTGAAATTTTAACGAAGGAAAAAGAGTCCTTTCTCATGCTGCTCATGGGGAAAATGTAGAAGACTATAGCACTATGTCGGTCTTTCAATGTTAAAATTCTTTGTTGTAAGAGAAATAAATTTGTAAAGTAAGCTGGGGGAAATCAGACAATAAGTCATCTGATACTATCTTTATCTTCCTGGTAGCAATTTTACTTTAAGTTTTCTTAAAAATCAAATAGGACCTAAACCTCAAAGTAAGAGGTTTAATTTATTGCCGGAAGGTATATCTCTGAAGATTTTTGGTCCTCTGATGTATGAACAATGAGCTGACGGGTAGAGCAAGCAACAAGAGATATAAATCAGTCTTTCTCTGCCTTAACCTTAACAAACATAAATATCAGTCTAAAAATCTGAGAAAGGAAAGACAGTTTATTCTTTTTCTTGTTGTGTTGTCCTTATTTTGCATGGAAGTTTAACGTACATCAGGTGTACAATTTAGTGATTCAACACATACACACAACACCTGCTGCTCATCACAAGTGCACTTGCTAATAGTACACTATGTTAACTGGAATTTAAGTAAAAACTTAAAAAAATAGGGTACATCAGTGACTTCTCTCAGAAATAAGCAGGAGAAAGAAACAGAGGAAGTGAAGTGAAATAAAGTAGAAATTGAGAGGGGAAGAGGTATATCTCAAAGTGGCTGTCATGATTCTCCTGTATTTTAGCTGTCAAATACCTATAATTGTATGGACCCCAATGTTCTTTGCAGCATTATTTACAATAGCCATGATATGGTAACAACCTAAGTGTCTGTCCATGGATGAATAGGTAAAGAAATTGTGGAATGGACACATAATGGAATATTATTTGACTATAAAAAGGAATGAAATCTTGCAAAATACAACAATATGGATGAACCTTAAAGGCATTATGCTAAGTGAAATAAGTCAGTCAGAGAAGACAAATACTGTATGATCTCTCTTACATGTGGAATTAAATTAAAAAAACACCAAGTTCATAGATACAGAAAACAGATTAGTGGTTGTTGGAGGGGAGAGGGGGAGAAATAGATGAATGGGGTCAAAAGTTAAAAAAATCTTTTTTTAATGAAGAAAAAAATTTTTTAATATTTTCTCTTAATAGTGCTCTTCTGAGATTGAGTGAGAAAACTTTGAATAAGACCCAGTTGGGGGTGGGATGGGGTATAAAATGAAAAAACACTTACCGTTCATGTACATTATGCCAGGGATATCAGAAAACTTGGTCAAAAATAACTTAGTTAAAATGTCAATTTGGTCAATGAATATCTTTTCACTATTACTTCTTAATTATGAAAGAATTCAAACAGAGGAAATATAACAGATACACCAAAACCAAATCTTTCCATATGTGCTTCAAATGTTTTCTCAAGGAAAAAAAATATTTTTTCAAGGAAAATAAAATATTACAAATATGGCTGAAGTCCTACTGTCCTGGACCTGGAAGTAACTATCTGTGAAGTTGGAGGCTTTATTCCCCTGTATGATTCTCATTCATATTTTCATATTTTTCCTATATATCTACATATTTGTAAATATCTTAGGGAGATTTTACATAAATGATACCATATTGAACTTTCCTTTTGCAACTTGCCTTTTCATTCAACATTATGTTTCTGACATTTATCCAGATTGGCAATCCATTCCTTTTAAATTGTGGCTTTTTATCTCATTGCATGAATACGCCCACTGAGGGACAGTTTGGTTGATTCTTTTTTGTTTTCCTGACTCTTATTTTACTCTTACAGCTTTCTTTGGCAGAAAACATTCTTATTTCTGTCTCCATGTCCATGTGTCCAAGAGCTTCCCTTGGATTCACTCCTAACCGTGGAATTGCCAGGACATGATTACATTTCCCTGTGGTTTGCTTCAGTGTAAGACCAATATTGAAATTTTTATCCGTTTCCTTGAGGAAACTTTGTTAAACTCTAGACTGCGTCTGTATATTTTTTAGATTTTTTTCTAGACAGTTATATCATCTGCAAGTAGTAGCAGATTTGTTTCTTTTCTAGTTTTTACAACTTTTTCTTTTACAACTTTGCTTTGCTTAAGACCTCCAGCGCAATGTTAGATAGAGGCAGCGGTAGAAGCCATCCATGCCTCATTGCTGACTTTAAAGAGAATATTTCAGGCGTTCTGGCATGAAGTTGTAAATATGGACTTTTGTTCCTTTTTCTTTTTCCTTTTTTTCCGTTTTCTGCCTTCTAGATTAGATTACTTCTTTTGTTTTAATCTCCCTTTTGGTTTTAAATTATAGATTCTATTTCTCTTCTTTTAAACCTTACTCTTCAATTAAAATTTTTTTTTAATGTTTTTATTTGTTTTTGAGACA